AAGCATGGGTGTTCTTATGCTTGTGCCCTCTCTTCATATCAGCTGGACGCTTCACTCTCCACTCTAGTCCTCTGTGGCTGTCACTGACTCTGGGCCCCAGAGTCCCCAGGTCTTGCCACACTGCTGCTGGTCTTTCATTCTTGTACTCTGATTTCTTCCTGGTGTCTCCTACTGGCAGAACCCAACATAACCTGAATCCAACTGTAATCCATGGGGTAAGTCAAACCCATAGACTGACAGCACACGTGTGCTTCATATTTTCCTTTTAGAAAATTAGAAGTTTCAATGTAGATGTAATTCATGCTGTATGGTGGTTGTGTGCCACCAAGTCAGGTCCGACTCATAGCAACCCTGTATAGAGTTTCTGAGGCTGTAAATCTTTATGGGAGCAGAAAGCCTCATCTTTCTCCCTTGGAGAGACTGGTAGATTCGAACTGTGGTTGGTAGCCCAGCTCATAAGCCACTATGTCGCTGTGTGACCAAATGCATCGGACCAAAAAGTAACTTTGAACTGCAAGGTTGGCTGTTCAAATTCATCAGCCACTCCTCAGAAACCCTATACAGAATTAACTCTATGGCCCTTAACAACAACAACAACAACATAAATTTCACCAATTTAAAGTTTTAATATATTTAAAAAGTTGTGCAACCATCCCCACTATCTAACTTTATGTATCATTTTATAGATGTTCCAACATTGCTCAAAAATCCAATTGGAATCCCCACTGAGTAGTTTTCATCTTGTCTAGACAGGTCTGGTGAAGAGATTGGGAAAAGATTCTTATGATTCAATTGTGAGTAATTGTTATCATGACTAATTGCTACTATCACAACAGTAAGGGTAGACATTCTGTAATAAAAAGGGGGAAGTAGTTCATCTTACAGTTCAGAAACAGAGGACCCCAGGATCATCAAGGGAAAAGAGCATGAGCAGAATGTGGGACCCTATCCAGAGAAGCAGCGACAGCAGAGATAGAGGCAGAGATGAGGGCATGGAGAGATAGAGCAGCCGAGGACTCTAGACTCAAGGAAAGAGAAAGGCTGTGTGCTGCCGGCCAGGAGGCAGGCTTGCAGAGGATGCCCTTTGATTGTTTAAATGATTATATATTCCCAAGTGTTTCTGTATACATCAAAAAAACAACAACAACAAAAAAAAAAACACACAAAACAAAAACCCCAGAGTGAATAGAAGCAAATATTGTTGAATGATGATTCACGAAACAGATTGTAATCATTGCAATGAAACGATGAGTGTAAAACCGATGTTCTCCCATGTAAACTATCACTGAATTCACAATAAAAGCTTTTTTTAAAAAGGGGGGGGAAATCCAATTGGAAATTAAAAATCCAGATGGATAGTGGGAGCTGGGGGCAAGGAATTGATTTGATAAAAAGATAAAAAGATACAGAACATATCATTACACCCATATGTCTACATAGACTCAAAGTCATCTCTTTCCAAGGTCACAGACTCAGTTTCCCATTTCCTAGAAGAGGCCACGAATCCACTTACGTGCTGTGAAGTCAAGTCTGACTCTTGATGACCTCATATGTGTGTGTTAGAGTAGAATTGTGCTTCATGGGATTTTCAACGGCTGTGTTTTTGGGTTTTTTTTTTTGCTTTTTTTTTGGAGATGGATTTCCAGTTCTTTCTTCTGAGGTGTCTTTGAACCTCCAACTTTTAGGTTAGCTATATTAACAGTTTGCACCACCCTGGAGCCCCTTAAAGACAGGCCTAGGATAGATCCCATATGACTTGGACTTGGCAGTTGGACCGCTCTAGACTCAATTTCTTGCCCTCCTCCTGGGCTCCCCACAACCTCATTCTTCACCCTGGAAGCCTTAGTTTCTTCATTTGTGGACTGAGGGGTGGGTGGGCTTGATACCTCCATCTCATAAGGATGAAATGACACAAATTCTTCTCCTGGAGTTTGCAGTAAACATGGCAGCTGACCATCAACTACAGCACAATCCTCATGTGAAATAGAATAGTGAAGGGGATTTTCTTGTCATGCCTACACTGTTATTTCCAGAGTCACCCTATGAGCATAGGTAGAACTCGCTTTGGAAACCAACGTCCATTTGCTTCCAAAATCTTTGGGGGAGGACCAAGAAACATGGGGATACCATCTTGTGGGCCCAGATGGAACTCCATTGTTTATACATTTTAAATATGACCGCTTGAGCTTTATTATGTAAAGGAACAAGTGCTTATGGCTACATAGGAAAAGTTGGTATATTGCTGATGTGTGCAAGCACATTTCCTGAGGGCAATGTATACCCAAGAGGTTGGAGACCCCTTGGCTGGCCCAGCTCTGGGTGTGTGTTGAGGGAGCGAGTTGTGTGGATCACCCCTGTATTCCCAGGCCCGGCATATTCCCAGACTGCTGAGGTTGAATGCAGTAGTCTGACAATGCCTCTTCCTCCTTCAGGAAGCCTCCCTTGCCTTCCCAGACACAGCTTGGACTCTCTGCATCAAGGTTCTCCGTACTAGGGTCCCAAGGTCTCCGGGCTGGCGAGAGTCTGTGTCCTGAGGAGGGATTTGATTGAGGCCTGACTCCGCCCTGAAGTCTCAGCATTACCCAGATACAGAAGGAGTCTGGCAGGGCTCGCTAATGAGAGTGAACGAACAGTCCTAAGCCTCTGAGACGGGTGTGGCTGTTCAGGGGCCCGGAGGGTAGGGCTTACAGCTGCTCACCAGGGCCACACCCGGGTCCGCGGGCAACCGCAGGCCAGGCATCGAAGGCCAAGGTCGAGAAGGCGTGGCCAGCGGAAGAGGAGGCAGTGAGCGATCCGCACGTACAGGCGGCCCGAGGGGTCAGCGGCTTTGAGCGTCGTCAGCAGGGTGTAGCGGGCGTTGGTCTGGCGGCGCAGGGGTGGTCGGGCGGAGCTGATGACCTTGACGATGGCCTGTGGAGCGGAGCCCCGAACCGTGGGACTCAGGGAGAGGGGTTCTGTGGGGAGGGGCCCCACACATCTGAGCCATGTCTTGAGGTTCTGAGCCCCCAACTCACCTGAGCTACATCCTGCGGGCTCTGTCCCACGGATCGAAAGAGCTCTCTAGAGGCTGGGAGGTAGAAGTCCCGGAAATAGCTCAGGGTGTCAGCGTCAGTGCCTGGGAACTCGGCCTTAGAAACCTGCTGCAAGAGCTTCTCCTCAAAGTCGGTGGTCACCGGACCTGGCTCCACCAGGGAGATGCTGCGGGCGGGGTACGGAGACTGCTGTTCCAACCCATCCTGCTCGCTGCTCCACTGTGCCCATCACAGCCCCCCTTTCCGCCCCACCCCATTTCTCCCATTGTTAGTCCATCTCTTCTTTCTGCTCCATCCTCTTCACTGCCTTCATTGTCCCACCCCCTCTACTGCCTCTATCCCCCACATTGTCCCACTCCCTCTGCTGCCTCTATCCCCACAATGTCCCACCCTCTGCTGCCTCTGTCCCCCACATTGTCCCTCCCCTCTGCTGCCTCTATTTCTTCACATTACCCCACCCCTGCAGTTGGTTCTATTTCCCCAACACTGCCTCCACCTCCTCCACTGACTGCTTTCTCCTTATCTGCCTCCATCTCTCCCTTATCTGCCTCCATGTCTCCCATCCTCTTTTACTGTCTTCATTGACCTCATTATGGACTCGGTTTGCCCACCACTGCCTCTATTTCCACCGCCATTGCTTCCATTTACCTTCACTCAATCTACCCCACCATTGGCCTTATCTCTTCTCTTCCCTTTGCCGGTTCTAATCCCCTCTCAGTGGTCCCATTCCCCCATTGCTTATATCACTTCCCAAGTCCCTGCCTCACAAGATGTTGAACTTCAGCAGCTGGATAGCCAAACTCTCGAAGAATCCCTCCAGGGCAAACTTGGAAGCTGCGTAGACATCATTGAACACGACACCTGAAAGAATTGGTGAGAGGAAGGCACTTTGCGGTTCTGGGTGATCAGTTTTGTGGGCCCAGAATGATGGGATCTTTAAGAGACAGTGCAAACAGGATTTGGGGATGTTTGGGACCAATAGATGAGGTATATAGCATCATGGGATGGTAATACATGGGGTCAGGTTGAGGTTGTTTGGGGGTACCAGATGCCAACTTTTTTCAATAGTGCTCCACCTGTCCTTGACCTAGGAAACTTCCCCATTTCCTTCCCTCTTCTAACCCCCTGGAATCACTTGGACATGGGTCTTTCAGGGCTCCTGAGCACAGACCGCACTGAGCAGGATCCTTGTCAGTCCTGCCCGGTTGAGCAGTGAATGTGGCCCTGAAATCAGAAAATGCAGCAGGAAACGGACCAAAAGGTACAGCTGAGTAGATGCAGTTTCTACACACAGGGTGACAAGTGGGGAGGGTCCCTTAGTGGGCTGCTGAGGAGGGAACAGATCCCAAGGACTTTTCAGGGGAAGGGCTGAGAATCTAAATGGGTTCATGATGAAAGGCCCAGAAGCATGGAAGGCAAATAGATGGTCTCCATAGTAAGCCCATTGCAGACATCACAAATCCATTACTGCTTTCTTTTCTGTCCCCAGAGTCTTTATTAATCTAACAATCTCTGGGGTCTGGTGGGTGGCATTTGGCCAGGAGGAGTCTCAGGAGAAGGAGTTCTGATGATTCCTTTGGATTTTTGAGAATGGCTGGGAGAGATTTTCAGCATTCATACCCTCACTGCCCATTCCTGCTCCATGACAGACATAGGTAATCCATCCCAGAACTTCTTCCTGATGGGTTTCAGAATCCTTCTCAACACAATTCTCCAAGTTTATTCGGACTATGAATGAACTAAAGCCATCCTTGCAGCCTGTGGAGGGCGAAGCACAGGAGTAGCGGGAGGGATTCCCAGGGCTGAGTCCAAGGACTTACCCTGAAGTCCCATGACACTGCTGATCACCACGATGTGGCCCTGTCGCCTCTTCTTCATGCCAGGAAGCACAGCTTTGACCAGACGAACAGCCCCAAAAAAGTTGGTATCAAAGACGTTCTGCATGGTGGCTATGCTGAGCCCCTCCAGGGGCCCCACCAGGCCCACTCCAGCATTATTCACTATAGCAGGGAGGGAGCCGATGGTCACCTCAAAGTTCCCCCAATACTTTCAGTGTCTCCCCCAAGAACATTTCCTGAGTCACCTCAGCCCCACTCCAAGTCCAGGGCCATTCCTGGGGGCGCAAATATGGAGCTTTGATCTTAAACATAGCTTAGCATTTGTTATAGGGTACCTTGAGCCCTAGAGTTCTGGTGCAGTGTCATAGGATAAGCACTGGATTGCCAACCGCAAGATCAGCTTTCAAACCCACCAGCCACTTCTCAGTAACCCTATACAAGGTTGCTATGAGTCAGAACCACTTGATGGCACTTAACAACAACAACAACCTTCAGCTTTGCAGAAGAAGAGGGGTCACTGGGAACAACATCCCTTTTGATGCATGAGTAACTCAGCTCTGACCCAAAATTGAACCAATACAGCCACATCCTCAGAGGACAGTTTAGGGACCATGAGTTGGTTCTTCATCATACTCTCTTCCCCAAATGACTGACTCATCAAAGTAATTTTCCCAACCATATATGGCTCTCTCAATAAAAAAGAAATTCTATTCAATAAAATCCAAACCATCCCTAAGTCTCCATTTACTTCTAATGTCTCTAGCAGGCAAATTGATGTCCTGGACTGTTGGCCAACTGGTCTACCCCTGTCCATGACCAGACAGCAAAACCTGGTGCTAATGTAGTGGAGGGATTTTGCTGTGACAAGGTTAGGATTAGTGTTAGAGTTATGGTTACGGTTAGTAGTAGGGGTAGGATTAGGATTAGTGTTATGGGTAGGTATACCATTAGGGGTAGGGGTAGGGGTAGGTGTGCTTCAACCAGGGAAGGGACAAATGACCCTGGGGGCTCATCAGTCTCACCGAGCACATCCACTTCTCGTCCCTGGATGCAGCTGAGACACTGGGCCACTGATTCATCACTACACACATCCAGCTGGGCCACGGTGAGGGTCTTCCCCAGAGTCTCCCCGGCAGCTTCCTCCAGCATTCCCTTCCTTCCCAGATCCCTCATGGTGGCCACCACTGGAGGCAGAAAACAGAGTTGAGGCAGGCACTGGGCTTCTGTCCCCTGTGTGTAAACTTGTGCATTTCTGTGACCTTGTACATGCAGTCATGAAGGGATGGAGGCCCACAAGTTTACACACCTACATTTAATCACATATCTACAGAGGCACACTTGTGTATACATGCTTCTTGTGGTTGTCAAGTGCCATTGAGTTGATTCCGACCCATAGCGACCCTGTATAGGGTTTCCAAGGAGCAGCTGGTGAGCTTGAACCGCCGACCTTGCAGTTCAAATGGATTTGCAGTCTGGCGCATTAACCCACAGCGCTACACCAGGGCATTGTATACAATGTTTACACTTCCATTCATTCAACGAACATTTATTGAGCATCTACTACACACCATGTTATATTCTAGGTGCTGAGACTTTTACATGAAGTAAAATAAATACTTTTCACCCTCGAGGAATTCATAGCCTAGGAAGTAAGATAATAAAATAAAAAAATATAGAACATATTGTCATGAGAAAGAATATGTGTATATACCTAAGAGTCAACCTACATACACACATAAGTATGAATAGCCACATTTATCTTACCCACATAGTACATTCCCATTTACTGAACATCTACTATGTGGCCAGCTCTGTGATAAGCATTTTTCTCAGCAATACAGCATTTAATCTTCACAAAAACCCTATGTGACAAGTCACTGATTTGTTTTCCAAAGACGACCACACACTATCTTCCCCCTCACATGTTCTTCTAGAATGTTGCCACTCTGCCATGAAGACATGAAATCGAATTGCCCTTTTCTCCTGGAATCTTGTGACTAGCTGGGAACCAATGGAATTTTGTGGAGCTGATGCTGAGATTAAGTCAGAAAAGGTGTTGCAGTTTCCACCTTGCTCAGTGGAACACTCACTCTTGAAACCTTCAGCCATCACGTCAAAACTTGACTGTTCTGAGGTCGCCATGCTGTAAGGAAGCCCAAGCTAGTCCAGACAGAGAGACCATATGGGGAAGCCTTAAGATTACAAGAAGAGAGAGAGAGAGAGAGAGAGAGACATCTGTCTAGTGTGTCCATCGGTCTAGCTGCTGCTATTGACTGTGAGCCAGAACCACACAACTGAGCCCTTTCGAAATTCATAGACATGATGAGAGATAAACAAATGATTGCATATTAAAATAAACATATTGTAGTAAAAAATATATATGATCCTTGTAGTTACTAGATATCACTGAGTTGGTTCCGATTTATAGTGACCCTGTATGGGGTTCTAGGACTTTAAATCTTTGCAGGAGCATAAAGTCTCATTTTTCTCCCTTGGGGAGGGTGGGCTTGAACTGCTTATCCTGTCTTTCACAGTCCCGTGCTTATCATATGGAGTCAGAGCACTCTCATTTAAGATCACTAATAGTTTGCTGTGCCCTGCTTAACAACCGAACCAACGTTGTTGTTAAGTGCTGTGAGTCTGTTCTGACTCATGGAGATCCTGTATAGGTTTCCTGAGGAGTAGCTGGTAGGTTTGAACCACTGGCCTTACGGTTAGCAGTCCAATGTTCATCCTACAGCACCACAACAGTGCAGCAAAAGAAAAGGTCTAAGATTCCAGCCAACACAACGCTATGGCACAGTCCCAGTCTGTGACACATTGGACCGCCGTGACTTGGAATTGACTCAACTGCCACTAACAACAACAACAAAAATATAAGTAAATATTTGACATTTTAACCATTTTTAAGTGTGCAATTCAGTGACAATAATAACACCATCTTGTACAATTGTTACTACTATCCATTTCCAAATGTTTTTCATCACCCTGAACAAAAATTCAGTGCCCTTTCAGCAGTAACATAAATAGCATTTCTGCTTCCCTCCAGCATTTGTTTCCATGTATTTGCCTATTCTGGATATTTCATATACGTGGGATCGAAAAGCACTTGTCCTTTTGTGTTTGACTTAGGTCATTTAGCATGTTTTTTAAGGTTCAACCATGCTGTAGCACACACCAGAACTTGATTTCACTTTATGGTTGATTAATATCCCATTGTATGGAGAGACCACATTTTGTATGTCCATTCATTTGAGTGGTTTCCACCTTTTGACTAGTGTGAGTAATGTTGCAGTAAGTCCTGGTATGGCATAGTAGGATAAACACTGCAAGGACAACAACAACAATGTTGTAGATTGTAGTTGTTTTAAGCCATAACTTTTTTATCCAGCAAGAATACCAAGACAAGTAGGTAACGTTATTATCCCCCTTATACAGATGAACAAACTGAAGCTTGTCTTTTCACCCCTAGCAAGTGTTAGAACTGAGATTCGAAACTGCGTGTGTCAGAGTGCTGAGCCCGTGCTTTCAAGTACAGTAACAGTATGTGCAGTATGTCCACACACACATACATGTTTGCTTACTTCTGTGGGTGAACCCACAATTCCACATGCACACAAGTGGCACTTGAATCTTGTTTGTGGGCCTGTCTGACTCACAGGTGCTTTATAAACGAATGGGGCATATGCATCCACCTTCAGTATAGCATGGTGGTGAAGCGCTTCCGCCCAGGCAGGGGCTGGGCTGCCGGGATTTAAATCCCAGTTCTGCCAATTTTCCAGCTGGGTGATCTTGAGCAAGTATCTTTCTTTGGCAGTTTCTGCCTCTGTTTCCTCATTTCTAAAGTGGGGCAAAAGATAACGCACACTCAAATTGTTGGGGTGAAGTGGCTTATTGGATGCAAAGCACTTACAGGGGAGCCTGGCACATTGGAAGGACTCAATAAATGTGACCCTTTAGCAGTCTTCCAGCCCTGGCTGCTCACCCCCAGGGACAAACCCAAGCACAGTACTGGGTAATCAAGTTCACTCTCCCTCCTATTCTCCCTCCTTCCCAGTTGTGTGTGTGTCTCAGCTCTGCCAAGTGGGCTAACCGGCCTCACCCCCAGCAGCCTCCTCTTAAGAGACAACCTTTTGCCCATTTAGACTCCAGCCTGCTCTGGGTCAGGAGTTCTCATGGTTTGGGGTGCAGGTCCAGGTAGTTTGCTCCAGAGCTGGAGACAAGTCCCTAGACCTAGAGGTTCTTTCCCTAAACCCCCAAGGTCAGGAGCATTTAAGAGGCTTACCTTAGGAGAGTCATCTGGTGGAGGCAGGTGTGTGTGTGTAAGAGAGAGCGTCTCCCAGCCTGGAGAATGCTCAAATGTAACCTTAGGGAAGTTTATCTAGAGGACCAGCCCTTCTAAAAATAGCCCCCACCCACCCCCATCATGCTCCGCCCCCTGCTTTATTTTGATTCTGGTACTTATTACTGCCAGACACATTATCATTTCCTTTTGTTTGTCTGTTTATTATCTGTCCTCCCTCTCACGCCGCCACTGCCCAGGGCAAAGCTTTTGGTCTGTTTTGTTCACAACTCTGTCTCCAGTACCTAGAACACTGCCTGACACACAGTAGGTTCTCAAGAAATAACAGGATGGTTCATGGGGGGAGGTAGAGTGAGGCATCGCTGTGTCTGGAGTCCTTCCCAGTCCCCCCACACAGGCATTTGGAGAGGACGATGGGTTAGTGGAGGCAAAGCTACGGACAAAGGGGTCTCCGGAGCCACGCCTTCCCCTGCCCTTCTAGGCCCCTCCCCGAACCCCTTACCCTGGTACCGCTTCTTGGGGTCGAGGGCCAGTTGCACCGCGAGCTCCAGGCCAATTCCTGAGGAGCAGCCCGAGATCAACACAGTCTGGGGAGCGCCTGCCATGTTGGTCCGCTCCCTGGGCGCGTGACCTACTGGGCAGCGCCTGCCTCCCGCTTTTCTCTTTGGTTTAGCGGGTCCTTCCTACTGCGTTCCAAATGATCGCCTGCTGAGAAAAGGGGCCTCTGAGACCCCGATTCTGGGCTGACCATGGGCAAGCAGCTAGGGGAATCCCTTAACCTTTCTGCATCCATTTCCTTCATCTGTCAAACTTCTTCCCACCTGCAGCAATATCTGGGAGCGTTTTATTATAAGTTAATTTAGGACTGGGACGAATTTCAGAGCGTGGGAGGGAGGCCGTAGCTTCTTGCAGTCTATCGTCTGAGTGATGAGGCCGTGATTGGAGGGAAGGAAGGCGGTAGGGACAGATTGTGGTCCCAGAAGGGTCTTTTTCAGGAGGGAATGAGCGAAACACTGTCAGAGAGCAGGTTAAATTGCAGGAAGAAGATCTCACCTGGGCAGGGCAGGGACCTTAAGACAGCCTTCAGAAATCTTAGCTTCGGAAGTTCGCCTGGGAGGGGGAACGGGTTGATGGGGAGGTTCCCTCTCCTCACTGGGGGCCCCCATTTCTCCCTCAGGCCACATGGGGCTCCACCCTCTCCTCTCTGGGGACACAGAGCCTCTTTGTCTGAGGAGCCAGCAGCTGGGAGGGAGTTACTGCCTGCTTCTCTCCCTCTTCCCCATGGGGCGGGAGCAGATCAGGGCCCAGGCTACGCCCCAGCTCCTCCCTCCCTGGGGAAGCTCCCTGGTCTTGCGTGTCTGAGCCTGTTCAATGATACCAACAGAGATTCTTGACCCCTAGGGCCTCTTCACAGCGAGGTAGGGGGCTCTGCCTCACCTCAAGAACAGCAGAGATCAACTCTGCATCTCCCAGGGGCAGTGACTGGCTTTGGGGAAGAGCCACTCCCCTATTTGTTGGGGGGGCATATATTAGGATTTTGAAATAGGACTGGGACATCCATTTGGGGTCTAAATGGCGGAGATCAGGGTTAGGGATGACTTGAAGATTGAGAGTTTGTGGTGACCGTGCTGTGTTTTGGGATCTGTGATGAACGTTAAGGGATAGGGTTAGAATAACCAATTCTGGAATTCGGTGGAGCGAGGAGGATTTGAGTTAAGGCTGGAAACCTCGTCGTGGGATTTAGAGTAAAATTTGGAAGCCTGGGGGAAGGGCTGGAAGTGAGGCTGGTACCTCCTTTTGTGGGGCTAAGGGACTGGGGTGAGACAGGTGGGTGAAAGCTTGGAGTGAGGCTGGAACCCCACTGGGAAGCCTGAGTGAAAACCAAGATTTGGTATAAAGCTATACCCCCTAATTCTAGAGCCTGCACGGAGACTGAAGTTTTGAATGAGCCTAAAACATCCTTTGAGAGGGTCTGGGCCCCCTGATTCTAAGACTGGATAGGAGACATCTTCCTCCTTCACTGTAGGGTGGGGCAAGAACCGCCCAGCTTCTGGTTCGTACGCCACTCCAGCTGGCCAATCAGAGCGCGGCACAAACTTTCCCAACTCCCCCACCAGCTGTCAAGCCCTCTGCCCCCCGCCCCGCAGCGGTCCCGCCCCACGGCTCTAGAGCTCTGGGCGAGGCCGTGGCGGGGTCTCGGACAGTCCCCAGCCGATTTCGAGTGGAGCCGGTCGCCCGAGGGAGTGCGCCGTGCCGGTGGAGTCGCCGCGCCCGTCAGCCGCCCAGTGGCCCCGCTGGGATGGGGAGTATCCCGGACCTGGGTCAGCCGCGGGCCCGCCTCTGCCTGCTCCTAGCTGCGCTGCAGCTTCTGCCCTGGACGCAGGCCGGTAAGTCTGGAAGGAGGCGATAGGGTCCCCAGTGCAGGATCCAGCGAGGGTCCAAAGGCAGGGAGGAGCCGGGAATGGGGCGTGTGCGTCACTATGGATAAGTTTGTGTGGCCGCGGTGTGATATGGGGACCGAGTGTCCCACTCTGGACGACTTGTGGGTGTGACAGCTGAAGGGGGCGGGGAAACGTGTGGCGGTGTTTTAATCGTCGGATACGTGGGAATGGATGCAATTAATAGGTGTGTGTGTGTGTTTGTGTGGGTGTAGTGTGTGGCACTGTGTGAGCGCCCATTTGGAGAGAAATTGTCTGTGCTAAGACGTGGTGGGAGTTGGTGACTGAATGATGTGGGTGATTGGCGATTCCTAGGAGGGCGTGTGGTTGTGCATTGTAGGTGTACAAGTGTGTGGCTGATTTTCAGAATCACCGTGTGTGTGTTATGGGTGCGACTGGGTTACTTGGGGTGACCTGTGAGGGGTGCAGTTGTGATTTGGGGCTGTAGCTAATCGCCCGTGAGAATATGAGTGACTGATATTGAGGTTGATGATGAGCGGGGGAGAGCGTAGGAAGGGGCTATTTGGTGGTCCAGAGTTCCCTTTGCATCTCCCTTAGTGGCTTCACCCCCATTCTCCCTCCATGCTCCCCTACCCTTTCTCCCTTCACTCCCACTGCCCCCCCACCCCGCCCCTCGCTCCCCAGAGCCGGTATCAGCACCATGGACAGGGCCCCGAGAGGCCTGCGGTGAGGGGCGAGGCGGGGCGGGGCGCAGGGCGGGGCGGAGCGCGAGCGGGGGAGGGAGTGGAAGTTGCTCTCCCCAGCTGCATCAGCTTCGGGTGTTTTTCCCGAGGAATTTCTCAGGGGCCCCCCAGGGGTCCTGGGGGCCTCCGGACGGGTGAGTCACCGCTGACGCACGCCCAGCTGTGCGCATTTGGCTGGGAGCCACGCTGCCCCACAGGGTTCAAGGTGGGGAATGTCCCGGGTTGGGGGTGGTTGTGATTCCTTAGGAAATGGTTAAATGGGCTTCCCAAATCTGAAAGATGGCCAGACCAAGTGTTCCCAGAAAACCCAGTAGGCTCACCCACCACCACTACCGTGAGTCACCATCCTTGAGCCCAGGGATGAGTCTGCCTAGTGGGCAATCCCAAATTAGCCTATGCCCATTCCCACACTCACACATCCTAATGTGAGCAATTCTAGACATCCACTCAGAATATCTGTCCTCTGGGACACCAGAAATATTAAACTCCCATGTCTGTGCCCACACAACTCCACCCAGCCCATGGTCACCGCTCTTGCCATTTCCCTGCAGTTTTAAGCTCTCACACATGCTCCTACAAGCACACATGCAATTGGTCAAAATTCACAGCCAACTACCCATTTTCTGGGTGGGGCACACTCTCACACATTACCACAAGCCCCCATCACAAGCTCAGGCCAACAGATTCACCAAACTACCCCCATGTGACTCCCTAATTTTACCATCACAGCTCAAATACTTTCACACATTGACACATTAACACACCATCTGCCTAGTCAATCCTTGGCCCATTCAGAGTCACACATCCTTCACACAGCAACACACACACATCTGCAGGCACACTCACACCTGTGTGTTTTCATATACCTGGGCTATCCCAGCCATGTTGAAGCCTAATCCTGGCTTGCTTCTCTTGGAATTTCAGACCTGCCCCCCTGGGGTCTTTGGAGGGGGCCCTGTTCAAAACAGAGAAAAGTATGTGGGAGAAGGGCAGCTGGGTCCCTAACAGACCCCCACTGCCTGGTCCTTCAGGCAGACTCAATGCCTCTTGTGTGTCTTCTTGTCACAAAGCCAGCCATGAAAAGAAAGGGCAGTCAGTTTTTGAAAGGTCACTACAGAAGGGACCCAAGATTGAAGCAGGAAGCATTTGGGTTAGGTGCTGGGGAGGACTTTTTATGTGTGAATGAGCAGTGGTTGAGAGGAGACCCCTTCCCATTGCAAAGAGGCTAAGCAGAGCTTGGGGCAGAGCCTGAGAGAATCACGCTGGGTCAGGTCATGGATCACAGCCCTTTCCTGGGGATGATGACTCCAAGGGGGCGTGATCCTTGTGGTCAGCAGAGCCTGGGAGCCCAGATCTCAGCCCCAGGGGGCTCTAACCCAAATAGCTCTTAATGATAGCTCAGTCACAGAGCAAGCAATTAGAGATTGGGTCTGGTGGGAGGGAAGTGGAGAAGGAGAGTTGATGAGGGCGGTAATCCAAATGAAAAGAGAGAGAATGAGAGAGAAACATGCAAAGATGGAAGAACCAAAGAGAAACCAAGAGCCAGAGCCAGAGAGGGAAAGAGACTTGGAGTTGGACTTTGGACACAGAGAGAGATCTGAAAACACTGAGAGAAAATAGAACCGAGAGGGCATGGGAGGGACAGAGGAAAGAGTTGAAGGAGATTAAGGCAAGAGAAAGCAGAGGTTAGAGCAGAGGACATTGGAATCTAGAGAATGAGAACAGAGGAGCCTGATTCAGGGGGAGCTGGGATGGGGTCCCTCAAGTCTGGCTCCCCCACCCTGGTTCCCAATGGTGAGGTCAGCAGAGCCACCTCCAGGGGTGAGGTCATGGCAAATTCTGCAGAATCTGGTTCCTGCCAAGAGGCTGGGTCAGGGGGTTAGTGGGACAAGAGGCTGGTGGGGGGAAGCCAGGATAGGGCAGGGTCTTTGGACCCAGGGGAAGCCCCCACATACTCCTGCCCAAGCCATGTGGTTCTACTTAGTGCTGGCCTGGCTTCCTGGGGCTGGACTGATGGCTTGGCCTGATTTCCGATCTGGTTGGGCCAGACATGTTCCTTCCTCTATTGGGATGAGAAAGGGATAGGGTCAGAGGGAGGAGGTCAAAGGGTTATCAGAGAAAGAAAGAGGTCAGGAGTGGGGATGAGATGAGGAGGTCATAGGACAGTCAGACAGAGGAGACAGGGATAAGAAGAGGAAGGAGGTCAGAAGGATGTGGCCAGAGGAGGAAATCAAAGAAGTCAGGTAAAGGAGGTCAAAGGTCAAAGTGGGGAGGGTTGGAGGTCAGAGGTTGGGGTCAGGTAGAGGACGATCAGAGGAGCAGGATAGTATAAGTCAGTTCAGATCAGAGAGAGAGCTGTCAGAAGGAGATGGTCAGTGGGGGATATCAGAGGGAGGAAATCCAAAGTGTCAGTGGTCAAAGAGGGGAGTCTTAGGAAGGAGTTCAGAGGGAAGACAGTGAAGGTTGTGGTGGCCAAAGAGTGGAAGTCATGTGTGAATGTTCATGAAGGTGGTCAGTAGCCAAAGGAGGAAGTCCGATAGAAGTTCAGAGAGTTAGAAGTGATGGTAGTTAGAACGATGAGGCCTGAGGAAGGAGAGTGCGTGTGAGAGTGAGTGAGTGCGTGCGTGCATGCGCGCATGTGTGTGTGTGTGTGTGTGTGTGTGTGTGTGTGTGTGGTGGGGGCAAGAACCCACTCAGAGACCTTCCTCTCCAAGCGACTTTCCCCTGGCAAGGGCGCTGAAGGCTTAGGAATCAGCCCCCGAGAGTCAGGGCGGAGGAGTGGGGAGATGGGGACAGTCGGCACTGGGGCTCCGGCCAGGAAGCTTTGATTCATCACAGAACTAGGTCAGCTTTTTCTTCTCACCAAAAACCAAGGGGAAAAAAAACAGGAGTTAACAGTCTGATGAGGCCGGAACAGATGTGGGGTGGGGAGAGGGGGTGCTGGTCCCAGGCCTGTTTCTTTTCTCTGAGCCACAAACATGGAGGGGGACTGACCCCCCTAAACCTGAGTCATTCATGTGGAGTCTGGCTTGTTCTAATGCCCTCTCCCCCTGGTTTCTCTCTGCAGCAGACCCCGTGGATGTACTGAAGGCTCTGGGCATGCGTGGGGGCCAAGCTGGGGTCCCTGAGGGGCCTGGCTTCTGCCCTCAGAGGACCCCAGAGGGTGACCGGGCATTCAGGGTGGGCAAGGCCAGCACACTCAGTGTCCCCACGAGGGAGCTCTTTCCAGGTGAGTTAGGGTAGAGTGGCTGGGGTCATCCTGGGAGCAAAGTCAAGCCACCTGAGCTGCCCCTTGTCTTCTGCCCACCAGATGGACACTTCCCTGAGAACTTCTCCGTGTTGGTCACTCTGCGGAGCCAGGCAACCAGCAGGTCCACCCTTCTGTCCATTTACGATGAGATGGGGGTCCGACAGCTGGGACTGGTGCTGGGGCCAGGGTTGGACCTCTTAGGTGACACTTTTAGTCCCCTCTCCCAGCAGGTCAACTTCACAGATGGCAGGTGAGTGTAGGGAGGGTGGTGATCCAAGGAAAGGTGGGATGAGAAGCACCCCCTACTGAGGTTGTCCCTCTGTAGGTGGCACCGTGTGGCGGTCAGTGTGAATGGCATGGTGGTAACCCTGGTGGCTGACTGTGAACCTCAGCCCCCCATGTTGGGCCAAAGACCTCGATCCATCAACACAACTGGATTCACTGTACTTGGAACCCAGGACCTGGGGGAGGAGACTTTTGAGGTAGAGGTTCAGTACCAGGAGAAACTGAGGCAGGGGCAGGAGGGAGTTTTGTCTACAACCTGAATCTGGAGAAGGGCTTGGGAAAAGCTTCAATGTAGCCCCAGAAGCTGAGGGAAAGGAGGACCATGTTTGAGTGCATGGTCCCCATGTGTGAGGGTGTGAGGTTGCAGAGTCACAGAACTGTATGTTGTGATGTGCACAGTAGGCCTGGTGTGGAGGATAAGGTTGTGCTGTGTGACTTAGGTGGATGCCTCTGCCTGTCCTCGTGGGCTGCTTGTGAGTTGCCTGTTTGTAATGAATGCTGTGGTTATAATGATAGTGTAGAATTGTGGGGGGGTGGGTACCAGAAAGATGGGCTGTTGTGTGGCTGTGCTTGTGGGATGGCTACTATTACTGCCGACTGTGCTGTGTGTAGTTGTGATGTGTGCCACATCTAGGAGACCAGGGACCTCATTGATCTTGTTCCCCTCGAGCTCCAGGATCTAGAAGGTTACCTGGTACATAGCTGGAGCTTGCTCTTTACCTGAGAGTGAAGGAACCAATGTGGCTTTGATGTGACAGATATTGTGGGATGTGGTTTGTGGTTGTGATGTTGTGTGATCCTGAGAAAATCTTTCCTTCTCTCAGTTTCTGGGTACAGGGGGGATTCTTTATATTTAGAGTGCTCTGGGTAAATAAACACCAAGCCTTGGTGTTGGGAGGTGGGGAATGGACGATCAGAGTCAGTCTGTACCTCTTCCCCCACCTCCCACCCCAGGGAGATATTCAGGAGCTGCTGATATGCCCAGATCCTCAGGCTGCCTTCCAGGCCTGTGAGCAATACCTTCCTGGCTGTGACGACCTGGACCCCTTAGCCACAGTGGTGAGTGAGGGGCTGCGTTACTGCTGACCTAAGTCATCTGACTCCAGGTCTCAAGAATGAGTGAATTCTGACCCCTAAGTGACAGGACTAAGTGACCTCTGACCTCAAAGAGTCTGAAGTCTCCCTGAGTGACCCTTGACTCAGGTCACACAAGTGAGTGACTCTAATCCCAGGCAGAATGCATACCTGACCTTGACCCCTGACCACAGAGCTGAGTGAGTCCTGGCCTCAAAACACAGGAACAGTGGACTCCTGTCAATCCCTTGCCAGCAGGGCCCCAGATGACCCGAGCGGTGGGATTTCTACTGAGGGAATGGGAAGTTGAGGTCCTCACTGAGGCCAGCTTGTGGACCTGACTGAGACTTGCTTCCCAGGCCCCCCAGGGTGAGCTGGAAACATCTACCCCTAGAAGAAAGGGGAAGGGGAAGAAGAAAGGGAGAGGTCGCAAGGGGAAGGGCAGGAAGAAGAACAAAAAAACTATGACCTTGAGTCCAACTCCTACCTCCCTGGAGAACCAGGTAAAGAACTAGCCACCTTTGACCTCTGTTCTTTGACCACCTGACTTCTGGTCTCTGACCTCCGCTGACCTGTGGCTTTTCATTCATGGTCCTTACCTGTGGTTTTCTAATCCCTGATCTCTACTTCTCCTAGCTGATGGATGACTGTTTCATAAACTCCTCCGTCTCAGCCCACTCCACCTCTTGGGCGGAACATATTAAGTACCTGATTATTAGGGGTTCTTGGTGGATGCCACTGTTTAGATGGCATCATTAGTGGGTGGCAGGGGTGGTAGGTTCATTTGTTGGTGTGTCATTGGTTGGAGTTCACTGGTTGGGGCATGATGAGAGTTATTCACTGGAGGAATCACTAATTTGGAGGCCTTATTTGGCTTCCATGATGAGAATTTCTGGTTGGGGTTGCTGTAAGGGGATATTGGTTGAGATCAATGTGGGAAGGTTTACTACTTGGGCTTTGTAGTTGGAAGTCATTGATAGGGCTGCCGTTGATGTCTCTGGTGTCACTAGATTAGGGTTGATGTTGGGGTCATTTATGGGAACCATCAGCTGGGTGATGTCTTACTTAAAGTTCATTGTTGTTGTTAAGTGCCATTGAGTTGGTTCCAACCCATAGTGAGCCTGTATCGGGTTTCCGAGGAGCTGCTGGTGAAATTGAATTGCTGACCTCACGGTTCAAACCGACTTTGCAGTCCAGCGCATTAACCCACGGCGCTACACTAGATTATTAGTTAGAAGATGACTAATGTCATTGAATGGATTACTGTCTGGAAGTCATTGATTGACTAGAGGGCACTTTTCATGGGCTAGGGGACACTGACTGGAGAAATAATTGATTAAGGTCACTGATGGAACTCATTGGCTGGGGAATAACTGGTCAGGGCCAATGATAGGGGTCATGAAGTGGGGACTTACTGATGGTCCATAGTTGTAAAAATAACTGGTTGGGAGTCATTGCTATGGGTTATTATTTGTTGGCACTGATTAGGGGTCTTCGGTGTGGGTCACTGGTTTGAGGTCCTTAGTGGAATCACTGGGGATCATTTGTTGTGTGTGTGGTCACTGGTTGTAAGTCATTAATGGGGTTTACTTTGTTGTTGTTGTTGTTATGTGCCGTGGAGTCGGTTCCGACTCATAGCGACCCTGTACAGGGTTTCCGAGGCTGTAAATCTTTATGGGAGCAGAAAGCCACATCTTTCTCCCGCGGAACAGCTGGTAGTTTCCAACTGCTTACCTTGCGGTTCGCAGCCCGATTCGTAACCACTTCACTACCAGAGCTCCTTAATGGGGTTTATTAGCATAGGAATAATTGTTTAGGAGCCATTGGTCAAGGATCACTGGGTAGGGTTACCATGGGAAGTCACTGGTTGGGGTGCCCTTTGTTGGAGGGTGTCACTAGCTCTGCTCCTAACATTTATGGGCAAAGAAGTTGACACTTCAGGCTCTGAACTTGGATGCCAGGAGTAAGTGGCCCCTTTTCACTCTCCCCCTCAGCTCTGGGCTGTCACTTAGGCCTCTGTTTTGATCTAATTTCTCTGTAGCTGTCCAGGCCGGGAGCAGCTGCCGGTCCCTGTCTGACTGGGGCCTGGCTGGTGGACCGCTGAACTCTGCCTTGGGACAGGACATGTGAGATAGGCTTCCGGGAGTCTGGCTCTGAGTTCTGGACCTTGATTTTGACTCCTCGGCTCTGGATCCAGCTTCCCTCTGCTTCCCAGGCTTTCAGGACCTGACCCTGCCTCCCCTCCATCCATGATGGTGCTCCCTTGTGGCTTCTCTGATCCAGCCAGCACACTTGACCCCAAACCTAAACCCCTCTGATGTTTCTTGGGAATCCTCTATCCATCTGCCCAGACCTCTGAGAACTCTAGGGGCAGGATTTGTTTCCTCTGTGCCTCTCCTTTGTCTTGATTGCCTGATCCCCTGGGCCTCAGACCTGATATACCTCTGTCTTGGTTCCAGACCTCTGCTGGCGTCCCCAAGACAGCAGTGCCATCCCCAGCTTTGCCTCCGACTCCCCTGTCCCCTTTGATGATCACCACCACTGTGTCCACGGACGGCAATGTCACCATTGTAGAGGTTGGTGAGAAGTGAACAGGACTGGAAGGGGATGCTGGGTGGTGGTGGTGTCTCAGGAGGCTGGTGGCAGAGAATGAGGAGGTTAAGGGAAATTTTGTTCTGTCCCAATGCCCTCAGGGGGACCTGGATCCTGACAATGGAACTGAGCTGCAGACCCTGAAGACTGACGAAGCCACTGAGGACAAGGAAAGAGATGGCCTCACCATGGGTCCCCTCTTCAGGGCAGCTGAGCAGTCTTCAAGGACTCACCTACAGATCTTTCCTGTGAGCCTGGGTGGCTGGGTTATGTGCAGAGGAAAGGACTCCCATCTGGAGTTACATAGAGTCACATCCTTTCTCCTGCCTTCTGTTGATCTTGCCTAGAATGCTTTCCCCCACCCTAGTACAGTTGACAAATATTTATTGAGCACCAGCAGTGACATGCACTGTGCACATGACTGGGTCTGTGGGTAGGGTGATGAATTTAACTTTTAGTCTAAGCTCAAGATGGAACAGGATGTGACTTGCATGTTTAAAAAATTAAAAGCTCCCTCTGGATGCTGAGTGACGAGTGGACTGTAGGGGGAGCCAGAGGGGCAGCAGAGAACCCTGTAGAAATAGGTGCGAGAAGAGTCCTTGCTTGGTTGGTGCTGTTAAGGTCTTCAGGTTGCTAACCTAAAGGTTAGTGGTTTGAGTCCACTCACAAGTACCTCAGAAGAAAGGCATGGTGATCCACTTCTGAAAAATCAGCCATTGACACATGTTGTTGCTAAGTGTCCCTGAGTCAGTTCCAATTCAGAGCAATCTTCATAGGAATGGAAAACCTCATCTTTCTCCTGAGGAATGGCTGGTGGGCTTGAACCATTGACCTTGTGGTTAGCAGTCCATTGCTTCTACAGAGGACTGAATTAGAATCAACTTGATGGAAACTGGTTAGGCAAGAGAAGGTGACACAGCAAGAGTGGTGGTGAGGGGGACCGAGAGAAGTGGGCAGATTTGCCACATGCTCTGTTTTGGGGTTGCTGCTGGATGAGGAGAAAGCTGTAAGGATGGCTGGTTAGATGCAGGGTGGGACCACTGATTAAGATGGGGGATCCTGAAGGAGGGGCAGATCGAGAGCGTCTAAGAACCCTTATTGCACATGTTAAATTGGATACACCTGTTTGCCATCAAATGGAGAGGTCAATTAGGAGGTTGGTTAGAAGATTCTGGAGTTCATGATTTTGGTCTAGGCTAGAGATACATACTTGAGGCTCATTAGTGGAGAAATGTATTTTTACTTAAAGGATTGAAAGAAATTGCATAAGAAAGCAACGTAGACACAGGGGAGAAATGCCAAGCAGAATTGCAAATCCTCGTGGAATCCAGACTATATGGAGTCATAGAGTCTGAATGAACCCTTGAAACCAGTGTCCTGATATAATCTTTAAATTTTAAACCAAAAATATTCCCTGAGGTCATCTTAAAAAACAAATAGTTTAATAGAATGAATGTAAAACTAATGTTCTTCCATGGAAACTATCACATAATTCACAATAAAACATTTAAGGAAAAAAAAATTAACCTGCTTTAAAAAAAACAAATAGTTTAGTCTGATTAGTAAAGAATGTCTGCCTTGAGCATTTTGCTTTTTTAAAGATCTATTTGATGTTGTTGTTGTTGTTATGTACTGTGGAATCGGTTCCAACTCATAGCAACCCTGTACAGGGTTTCCAAGCCTGCAAATCTTTACGGGAGCAGAAAGCCTCAACTTTTTCCTGCAGAACAGCTGGTAATTTCAAACTGCTGACCATGAGATTAGCACCCTGATTCGTAACCACTACGCTACCAGAGCTCCTTAAAGATCTATTTATAAGGGATCAAATTGATAACAGAAACTCCAAAGGCTGGATAGGAACCTTAGGGAGCTGTGAGTTTCTGTGACTAGGGGAGGGACAATTGGAAAGGAGGGTGAGAATGATTGCAAAACTTGAAGAATGCAATCAGTGTAATTGAATTGCCCATGCAGATATTGTTGAATTGATGTATGTCTACTTATATGAGGGGGCTTCAAAAAGTTTGCGGAAAAATGGAATTAAAAGATAATGAGTGACACCAGAGATGGAGGCAGAGATGAGGACATCGAGAGATAGAGGCCTCTAGACTCATGGAAAGAGAAAGAATGTGTGCTGGCGGCCAGGAGGCAGGCTTGCAGAATGCGCCCTTTGGTTGCTTAAATGATTATATATTTCTGAGTTCTTTTGTGTACATTAAAAAAAAACAAAAAACAAAAAAACCCAAAACCCACAGGGAATAGAAACAAATACTATTGGATGATGATGAATGGAAAGTGTTGTAATTATTCCAATGAAACGAAATACAATAGGGTGAGTGCAAAACCCATGTTCTCCCATGTAAACTATCACTCAATTCTCAATAAAAGCTTAAAAAAAAAAAAAAAAGATGTAATTTTCCCACAAACTTTTTGAAGTCCCTTTGTACATTCTCAACAGCAGGAACAAAAATAAAATAAATTGTAAATAAAGTAATTGGTGTTAGACAGGGGGAAAGGTAAATACTCATAACTACTTTACCCTAGTGTACCAAGCATTGTTTTAATTGATTCATCTTCGTATGGGGTGTATATATAACTCTCATTCACTCACCAACTTTACAGATGAGGCTGGAGGCATCAAACAAGCTGCCCAATGGCAACACTGAGCTCGTAAGTGGCAGATCCAGGGTTTAAACCAGGCATTCAGCCTCTTAGAGTTCATGTTCCTCTCCTCTATGTGGCTTTGCCAGTTTGAGGCTGGCTGAAGAAAGAATGACAGGAACGTCTCTTAGGGTGGTCCCTTTATGTGTGAGGAGGGAGTGAGAAGATGAACTAGAGGTTAGGTCACTGAGTATTCAGGATGGAGTTTCAAGGTCATTGTTAAGTGCCATCGAGTTGATTCTGACTTGTAGCAACCCTGTATAGAGTTTCCACAGAGCTGTTAGTGGGTTTGAACCGCTGACCTTGAGATGCAAACTGAGTTTGTGGTCCAGTGCATTATCCCACAGTGCCACTAAGGACTTCAGAGTTCCAAGGTCCACCACATCTCTTTTCTCTTCCCTTCCCTTCCCTAGGATGCTGGAGAGAAAGGAGCAAAAGGCGAACCAGCAGTGATTGAACAGGTGAAGGGATTTGGGGTTGGGAGAAGGATGAAAGGTCTGGGCTAGACTGAGGATCACACTCATCTCTCCTTTCAGGGGCATCAGTTTGAGGGGCCTCCAGGAGCTCCAGGACCCCGAGTGAGTCATGCCTGTGTTTCCCTTGTCCCACCTTCCATTTGAGGTGTTGTGTTTTTGAGGTGGGAGTTGGGTGTAATGCTTTCTGGTTGTTTGACATTTGAGGCTCAGTGGAAGAGTTGAATGTATCATTTTGAGGTTGGTGTGTTTCAGTATGGTGTTGCGGGGTCGGGGTAACTAAAGGTAGAGTTGAGGAGTCAGTATGGGGTCAGTGTCAATCTGGCTACAACTTTGAACTTCCTGTGACTTCTGTTTCTCTGTCCCCAACAGGGGCTGGATGGCCCCTTGGGCCCCCCTGGTCCCCCGGGATTTCCTGGGGACCCTGGGTTACCGGTAAGAACCCCCCCTCCCCCCCGGGGTGTATGCACTTGAAGAAGTGAGGTTTGAGATTGTGGAACTGAGGTTGGGAGGAGATCTGAACATGGGTCTGGAGGCTGGACTGGGGACACTGTCTTGGGTCTCCAGTGATCCCTCCTGCTGATCTTTCTCCCCATCTGGCTCCTTTCTGTCTCTGAACACATCCGAGTGTTTCTGTCTTCCTCCGATGTCTCTGTGTCTGTCATTTCTCTTTTGCCTCTACCTCTTCTCACCATGTCTCCTGGCTTTGTCTGTTTTGGTTTCTGCCACGTTCTATTAGTTTCTCCCTCCCTCTGTCGATTTCTCTGTTGCCATTTCTCTAACGGTCTCTTCCTGCCTCCCTCTCTCCATCTCTCTATCCCCATCCTCCTCTGTCTCTCTCCTTCTCCATTTCTATCTCTCATCTCTACTTCTCTGTCTATTCCTACCTCCATCATTTCCTTCTTATCCCTGCCTCTCTTTCTCTCCCAGGGCCCTGCTGGCCTCCCAGGGACCCCTGGCATTGATGGGATCCGGGGTCTACCAGGCACTGTGATCATGATGCCGGTAAGTGGATAGGGTGGCACGGCCCCAGGGGGTGGAGTCCTGGCCCTGGAGCGGACTTCTCCTTGGGGTTTCCCTCACCACTAGTTGCTCCTTAGTTCCAGTTTGCCAGCAGTTCCTTCAAAGGACCCTCAGTCTCCTTCCAGCAGGCCCAAGCTCAGGCAGTACTACAGCAGGCTCAGGTGAGTGGGGAGACAGTCACAAAACTGATAGGAGGGGTCATGGGAAGATAGCCAGGAAAATGGCAGGGTGGAGGGATAAGGAAGGGCTACTGGAATCCAGGCAGATGTTTGTCTCCTGAACATGCCTTTGTGGGAGATGTTGGGGGTCTTATGGGAGACCTGAAGCTCTGTTCCCTTTCATGTCTACAGCTCGCTATGAAAGGTCCCCCTGGCCCTGTTGGGCTCACTGGACGCCCAGGCCCTATGGTGAGTAAGGAGGCTGCATGGAGGAGTAGAGTATATGAGTGGAAAGTAGTTGCCTCTTTCTAACTGAACTGCTTCTCTCTCTTCCTTCCTCCAAGGGTCTCCCTGGGTATCCAGGCCTGAAAGGAGAGGTGGGAGAAATTGGACCACAGGTGAGATTGGATGTAAAGGGTCTTCCCTGGGGCCAGAGGATAAGGTGTTGACTGGGGGAAATGCCAAAAGAACTGGGGATGCCCTCATAATTACTGCTCTTCCTAAGCAATGACTTTAAGTCTTTCCTATTACTTATTCTCTTCTCCTTCCTCCTTTTGCTCTCTTTTCTAGGGTCCCCGAGGACTTCAGGGACCCCGTGGCCCCCCTGGCCGAGAAGGCAAAATGGTGAGTGGCTGGCTTCTAGGTCTCCAGGTCACCCCTTTTACTTCTCCCAACACCCAACATGAATCTCGGTTCTGTGCTCCTGCGTGTGCTGGTGTCTTTGGTGGGATAAGAGCACTGAGGGAAGGGAATGGCTTTAGCTCTTGGAGTTTATGACAGAGGAATTTGGCTGGGTCAGAGAATCAGGAAAGACATGTGAAGTACAACCAGGTGAACAGCAGAGAGAAGAGCATTCCAAGCAGAAGGAACTAACATATGCAGAGGAAGAGCCTGACACATGAAATAATGAACCAGGTGTTTTCCAAAGAGTTATAAATACAATAGTTACAAGTGCAATGAAGTTGGAAGTCCTTAAATTTGATGATGATGGTGATTTAGGTTACGGCCAGGGTACTGGAGATAAAGAATAATGGATGAGCTTGAGTTATACTTGAGAGGTTAAATTGGTACCTACAGGAGTCCCCAACACAGGACTCTACATGAAGAAGGTGTTAAGCAAGTGACAGTAGTTACCTTGATGACAGAGTCCTGGTGTGGTGCTATAGGATAAGTACTAGACTGCTAACCACAAAGTTGGTGGTTCAAACCTACCAGCCACACTTCACAAACTCTTGATGATGCTCATGATAATACCATTGAGTCCCTAATCTTGGGTAGGCCTACAGGTGAGGTGGATCCTTCATCCTTAGACTCACCTCTTCCATAGGGTCGCTCTGGAGCAGATGGAGCTCGGGGTCTCCCAGGGGACACAGGCCCTAAGGTAATTTGATTGGATCAAGATTGGGACTTGGGAGAATGGTTAAGCTCAAGGGTTTGAGGTTCAACTGGTGTCTCTTTGGACAGGGTGATCGGGGCTTTGATGGTCTGCCGGGATTGCCTGGTGAGAAAGGCCAAAGGGTGAGTCTGCGAGGTCCGTCCCTCATGTCTAAGTCCCTCTAATGGTCTTGCCATCCTTTCCACCTCTCCCTGCATCTGAGTTCTTACCCCTTGTGCCTGAGCTACTTGCCTGAATGACTGGTGTCCACACCCACCATTTCCCTCTGCTCCCTACTTCAGGGTGACTTTGGCCATGTGGGGCAACCTGGTCCCCCAGGAGAGGATGGTGAGAAGGTAAGTCTAGAAGAGAGTTTGGGATAGATTGGAGGCTAGGAAGCCAGAATGAGAGGCAGAGAGAAGCAGAGAAGTCAGAGGATTGGAAAAGGGGCAAGGGGCTGCACCAGGGAGCGAGTCAGAAGGCTTAAGGGATATGGCCTATTTTTGGAGTTAGGAGGTGAGACTGGGGCTTGCAGAACCAGAATAGAATCACATGCGCTCCATCTGCTGGATCTTGCATCATGCCCTGACTCAGATCCCCTGGGAGGGGCTGCCCAGATGAGGGAAGGTGGTTCTCTGAGGCTTATGGCGCCCTCCTCTTCAAGTGATGACACTTCTCCACAGGGAACTCAGGGACCTCCAGGGCCCACTGGCCAGGCCGGAGAGCCCGTGAGTATTGGGAACCCCTAGAGCCGATTGTCTGGAGTAGGGGAGGGGCAAGGACTTGTAAGGCCTCAGAACAGGGCCCAGCAGTGACTCTGAGATAATGCTCCTCTTTCCTTGCAGGGTCCCCGAGGACTGATCGGTTCCAGGGGCTCCCCGGGCTCCCCAGGACGCCCAGTGAGTTGTAGCTGTCTCTCTGCATCCTTGCCTGCGGTTTCTTTTCTCATCTCTCTCCTCTGAGTATCCATTTCTGTTGCCCGGTTGGTTTCTCTGCCCACTTACTTTTCCACCTGCTCCTCTCAGTGTCTCAGACTTGATGCCTTCTTGTCTCCCAGTCTTGGTCTCAAACCTTCTCTTCTCACAGGGTGTAGTTGGAATTGATGGTGCTCCAGGTGCCAAAGGAAATGTGGTACGTGTCCTACCCTCTGACCTCTGACCCTTTCAGATACTCTGACCTCATGACTCTTTACTGATTCCCCCTTGTCTCTGTGACTATCCATATCCTCATCCATTCCCACTATGCCAGCATTTCAACTTCACTGATACCTCCACACTAGGAACCTTTCCACTGAACCCCTACTTTTTCCCCAGGGTCCTCCAGGAGAACCAGGACCTCCAGGACAGCAAGGAAACCCTGGGTCCCAGGTCTGAGCTATTTTTCTCAATAATGTGGGTCAGCCAAGGTCTTAGAAGAAGCCTCGGAGCTTACTGCCCCTTTCTTGTACCTTCTCTTACTCTCTCTCTCTCTCTCACACTTTTTTTTTTTTCTTTTCATGTTTCCAGGGAATTCCTGGCCCCCAAGGACTCATTGGCATTCCTGGAGAGAAGGTAAGTGACAACTCTACTTATAACCGCTCATGCCAAAACTTCCCTCAGCTCTGTCTCCAGCAAAAGCTTCCCACAAGGACTTTTTCTATGAGCTCTGAGGCTAATGATAAATTGTAACATTCCCTAACAAAGCCTAAAGTTACAAAGTGTCATTGTTGGGAAAGGGTCCTTGCAAGAAATAGAACCCACCAAAGTCAGTCCACAGAAGCAGATCTTGTCAGATTTAAGGGAAACCCACTGAAGCCTGTCATAGAAAAGTTTTATCATGACTCAGGGCAGGAAAGCCTTCCTTTGGGGTTCTAGGGTATCATCTTTATTCCCCTGCATGTCTGTTTCCATCTTCCCTGGAAGACATGCTTCTTTAAAAGCTGCACCTATTTTAGCTTGTCCTCACCCCAGCTTCTATTTCTACATGACCTTGTACTGTTTTCTCACCATTTCAAGCCCAGATCTATCTGCTCATAGTCTCTGTCTCTTAGGTCAAAATCTCAGGAAAAAATCTGATTGGCTTAGCAGGGCTAAACTGCTTGCCTCTGGACCTGTCAGCTGCCTAGGCCCACCCCTCTTCAGTGGGAGCTGTTGGTGGGAGGCATTTCTAAAGAAAGGGGTGTGCCTGGAAGTTCCCCCTCCCCCTCCATCTGTCTGTCACACTTGTTTTACATGCCTTCTCTTAAGAATCCTAGAGACAAAGATTTCTGAGGCTCAAAAAGGTAAGAATCCTAGAGACAAAGATTTCCCAGGGTAACAGAGCTAGAAATCCATTTCCTGACTACTGGGTTCTTCTTATTCTCTAACATTAAAATAGCTACATGTCTGAGTAGAGCTGTTTTAATGGATTGTGGGACTCTGAACCCCTACTGTTTATCTTCTTTCAGGGTCCTCCTGGTAACCCAGGGATTCTAGGTCTCCCAGGAGCTGATGGCCCTCCGGTGAGAATGGGGAGCTGGGAAAAAGAGGAAGAATAGGTGGGCTTATGAATCTGAATAACAAATCTAGGTTCCTGATCATTTACAATGTTTCTTCCCCAGGGCCACCCAGGCCATGAAGGCCCCACGGGAGAGAAGGGGACCCAGGTGAGTTACCTGGGGATGGATTGGATTGGGGTTGAGTGTCAGTAGGCAGAAATTGGAGTCAGGGAGTCATAAAGGGAGAAAGAGGAGGACAGTGAGAACTTGGAGGGGGCAGGACTGGATGGCACTTACCTTATCTCCCTTTCAGGGTCCACTTGGATCAGCAGGCCCTACGGGCTACCCTGGACCTCGGGGTGTGAAGGTAGGTGGTACTTGGGATCTGAACGTAGGGGTAATTCATCAGAGGCTTTAGGAAAATAGCTCCACCAGAAATTTCTGGGTGTATTGAGACAGGAATCAGTCTGCCTTACAAAGAATGGATCTTGGGTCTGAGCCAAGGACACACAATATGCAGAAGTGTGTTTTACTTTGGAGCTAAAAAAACCAAAGGACAGCTTTACATTATAGTTACAATCAGTTGCCTTGTCATTGAGGAAAGTTAGGCCCATTACAAGCTGAAAACAATCTAACCGTAAGTACACAAGTCACACTGTAGTCCAGGTCAGCACACTGCAGTCAAGTGAAGGTTGTGCTATCACCTAAACCCAGAACCACAAGCGCTGCAATGCAGCTAACTAGGTCTGTCCTGTTGATCAAGTGCAGGGTCACTGGAGTTCCCATCCATACTGTAGCTAAATTCAGTTACATTGTAGTACATGTACAGATTGTCTGTGGTCTAACAACAGTTGGTGGTATTTAATAACCAACTAATCTTCTCATTTCCAAATTGTAGACAAACTTAATCACACTGTAACCAAATAAACAAAACCCCCCAAACCACTGCTATAGAGCCAATTCCCACTCACAATGGCGCCATAGGACAGAGTAGAACTGTTCTATAGGGGTTCTGAGACTAAATCTTTAAGGGAACAGACAGCCTCATCTTTCTCCCATAGAGTAGTTGGTGGATTTGAACTGCCGACTTTGTGGTTAGTAGCCCAGTGTCTAACCCATTATGACACCAGGGCTAACCAATAGCTGGCCACAGGCCTCATGTTATCTAAACTTAGAGTCACATTGTAGCCAAGCGTAGTAGTTACATATCACTCAAGTGGTAGCCGATGCCAGAATCAAACTCTGTTACACTGTGGTCTAGTGAATCCCACTGTGTCTGGACACAATTGTGCCATTGTTCAAACACATAGTTTTACTGTATCCAAGTACAATATCATTGTTGTCTCTGATCTCAGTTACACTGTATCCAAGTAGAATTTCTTATCTATGAGTTCAGTTATATTGTATCCAAATGTACTTTTCACTGTGGCCTTAGTCCAGAGTTTGGTGTGAGTAGAGTTCAGACTTGCACTGTTCAGTTGCTCTGTAGCCAAGTTCAGAGTTGCCTTGTTGCCAAGCACAGAATTGCACTGTAGCTAGTACAATGGGAAACATTCCTTTGCTTTTAGAATGAGCCGAGGCCTGGAATGTTCATCTTCTTTCTCCTGCCAGAAGGGGCTGTGGACACAATGTCCCTGGGAGATGGGAATTAGTTACTTGGAAATCTGGCCTTCCCTGCCCACCCCCACACAAATGACCTTGGGAGGCTGCCTGTTGGAAAGGAGGGGAGGTGTCCTCTTTCACACCACATTTCCTCTGAGGCTGCCCCATCCCTGATGTAGTCCAGCATCCTCTTGGGACTATCCTGGCTAGTTTGGGGGCAGGAACTGAATTTGGGTCCTAAGATTTTATATATATGTAATTTCTCAGGGCACTTCTGGCAACCGAGGTCTCCAGGGAGAGAAAGGAGAAAAGGTAAGAAGGAAGGGATTTTCTTGCAGTGGGAGGACTTTCTTGCAGTTGGGGGGACACTGGTTGTGTCCCTCCCCTGAGACCCTGACTTCTGACCTTTGTTTTCCACCCAGGGAGAGGATGGCTTCCCAGGCTTCAAGGGAGATGGGGGCCCTAAAGGCGACCGGGTAAGATGAGCTCCAGATGAGAGATTTGATGTGTCTGGGGTGCTTAGGGAAGGTAGGGAGGGGTGAGCTGGGACTAAGGGAACAGGAGTGACTATATGACTGGCATCAGAGCCTCTCCTTTTCATTCCAGGGGCATCCAGGACCCACCGGTGCCCGAGGAGAGGATGGCCCTGAAGGGCTGAAGGGACAGGCTGGACTAGCCGGCGAGGAGGGGCCCCCAGGTTCAGCTGGGGAGAAGGTAGAGGATGTTGGTCACCCCCTCCACTCTCCATCCTCCAGCTAACTTCCTCATCCTGCAATCATGGTATTCTTTGCCCTTTGCCCTCTGCCATTTCACTTCTGGCCTCAGCGCCCGCTAACATCTTTGTCATCTCCTTTAACTCCTCAACTCCGGTTACAGATCAATTCTATACACATCATTATCATTTTATTGTTACCCCCACAACCACTACACGCAGCAGGGATTTTCACCCCCATGGTACAAACTAGGAAACAGATTTGGAGTGGTTGAATGATCTGCCCAAGAACATTTGCCTAGCATGTAGGAGTCAGGATTTGAACCCAGGTTTCTCTGACCTCCAGCCTGCTACACCTCCCTGACTTTTTCTCTCTGGGCTCCAAGCTGCAATTTCTGACTGTTGCTCCACTATCTCTCTGCAGGGCAAGCTTGGGGTGCCAGGTCTTCCAGGTTACCCAGGACGCCCTGGACCTAAGGTGAGAAGAGGCTGGGAGACTCAAGGCATACAGGAGTGGTTTGTAGAGAGCACTCAGGGATGTGCTTAGGACCCAGGCTGTGGTCTAAGGGATGAATTTTCCACTCATGGGTCATCGAGAGACAATGCAAGCTATGGATTTAGGCATCAGTCAAATCTGAGCTTAAATACCTTGCCCTTACCTGCCATGTGACTTTGGTTAATTCTCTGATACCACAACCTCAGCTGGAAAATGGGGGTACCAGTAGTATCTGCCACATGTCTTTAATTGTAATAACGGTGATAATGATGATAATAAAACTGTTGTTGTTGTTGTTGTTAAGTGCCATCGAGTCAGTTCTGACTCATAATGATCCTGTACAGGGTTTCTGAGGAGCAACTGGTAAGTTTGACTTTGAAAAACAGCAGTCCAGTGCTTATCCTACAAAACCACACCATGACTCTGATAAAACCGTGGGATCCTTCTTATTTGGTGTGATTGAGTTTGTTGCTTCATCATCTAAGGAGGAGAATCATAAAAAAATTGCATCTCTAACATATTTTAGATTATTTGTAACTTACAATAAAATGTATTTATATAAATGTGTACTTACATAAAAATGTACTTTTGTTTGCCAATATTTTTGATGGATGGGGCTACTGATTAGAGTCAGCTTTCTTGCTTAAACCACACCCATGTTACATCATTGATGATTTACAGTTTCTGTTTGTAAAAAGTGGGACAGGAATGTAAAGGCATTTGGGAAGAAATCTGAGTGCAGACACCATCCAGTTTCTACATCTCAGTCCTCCCTAGCTCATGCCACTCTTTTTAAGGTTTTTATTGTGGATTGAGTGAAAGTTTACAGGGCACATCATCCGTTTCACATTCAACAATTCATATAACTTGTTTCATTACATTGATTATAATCCCCTCCATATACCATCAGTTAAAAGTATTTTTCTCTATCCACTTT